TAGACATTTCTTTTGAAGTAACTACTTTTATTTGCATATACATTTATCTAGTCATTTATATAGAAATACAAATCTTATTTATCTATACAAATATACAGAAAGACCGATTCACCATTCAAATAGGAATCTAATGATATAAATAAAGTTTCTATTTCTGCGTTGGCGTAATCAAAAAAGTTATATGCAATAAAAGTTCACGTTGACACTCCAAACTTGGATCCACATTTAAATTACCATGGTATATCTAAATTAACTCAATTTAATCTTGAAGTAATTATTCTCAAGAAGATGACGAAGAAAAATCAAAGTTTAATTTATATATATATATATATATATATTGTTTTAAATACTTATATAGAACATAATTTTATAATTTAAAAAATGGAACATTATAATTAATTCGATCGACCGATCTAATCATTTAATTAATCTAATAAAACAATCAATTTTTGAGGGAATTTATTGATTATGCTAAATCGTTAATACTATGGAATGATATTGAAATATGGAAATATTGAATTTTGCTATGATTACTATAACATTTCAATAGAATATTTTATATACGTTTTCAAATGTCATGTGGTTATTGCAAACGCATGCATCATATTTGATTAGAAAGTTAAATATTTTTTATATTAAAATTCCAGACGCAAAAATATATTCGAAGCAAGCAAACTGCGAAGAATCCGCGGAAAAGGCTGCTCGGAGAATATATTCGAATTTAGAATGGCTCGATTCTATTTTCGAGCTATCTTCTTACTCTCGAACTCTTCGCGAACCGAATAAATTATTAGATCGTTTTTTTGTCTACCTCTCGTATGGTTTCTCTCACCGATTCAAAGAGAATTTCATTGAAGATTATACGAAATAATTGCAAAATAAGTTGCACGATGGAATCGATAATCATTTTCAAACAGGGCAGGACAAACTATGAATTTCAATTATTTTATTAAAAAAGACAAATTAAAAAAGAAAAATAATTGGTAATTAATCGAAGGAAATGTATATTATAGTCTCAAAGGATAAAAATAAGGAAAATAAAGTTGAATTAAAAATATAAATTTGATATTTCGAAAAGATTCTCGCTTTGAAATTAGTTGTAACGCGTTCATCCCTATTGTAAATAAAACATTGCGTCCTCGTGCTCGATGATAACGCTATTGCGTATTGCTTGCTGACGTATGCATGCTAGCGTATGCAAAGGAAAGAAAGAGAAAGATTAAAAACAGAATGCAAGTACCAAACATTGAATACAAAAAAAACAAAGCAAACATGATATTCGGTTAATGAAAATAATAATTGATAACAAACTAGAACAAAGCAACGAGTAAAACATGCACAGAATAGGATATGAAAACGTGTTTACGCGTATGTATGTGTGAGTATGAATGTGAGTTAGCGAGCAAGTGAGTGAGCGAACAAGCGAACAAAAAAGAGAAAGAGATGGAGTTTAACGAGTAGAACGAGAAACGGAAGAAGGGATTTATGAAGTCAGAAAAAGAGAGATAGAAAATTATGTATGTTCTAACTCTCTCTCTTTCTGTTTTTATCGTCGTCGTCATCGTCATCGCGAAGTTTCTCCTCCTCTCTTGCGTATCACGAGACAAAACTCTAAAGCTCTCTCACATTAGTCTCGTCGTGACTACTTTGCGTGACACGTCGATTCGATCGTTTTATCATATATTCAAAAGTGTGTGTGTTGTGTGTGTCTCTCTCTCTTTATCTTGTTTTCTCTCTCTTTTCGTCGTTCTTATATACAGGGAACACGTGTTTAATGCGTGCACGTGTGTTATAAAACGTCTTTAGTTTTTATCAAATAATTTTCGTCGTATTAATTAAATATATTTTCTAATTTAATATATATTAATATATTTGTTAGTCTGATTAATAAATCTTTACGATTTTTAGTGTTATTTAATTAGAAATAATTGCACACGCCTATTGGCTAATTTTATAAATAATTTCAATAATAAGAAAATAAAATATATGAAACAATTATATATTTATATTAAAATTAATTATTTGATATATTTAGAGAGAGAAAGAGAGAGAGAGAGAGAGAGAGAGAGAGAGAGAGAGAGAGAGAGGAATAAAGCGTAAACAAAATTATTTATAGAAACATATGCATGTGTGAAACTGTACATACTTATAGAAAAGCGTGTGTGTCTTTAATCCTTCTTTACAACTTCCGGATGTCATCGTCCTTGTTCAATTTGCATTATCGACATTCATAACAAGATACGCACCAGTGATCTTCAGTATGCCATCCGTACGTACGTTCGTACCTTTCGTACGTCGTGACCGAAACAGAGAAAGACATTTACAATTAGACGAATGAGAAAAAGAGATAAAAGATAGAGATACCTTCTTTCTTTTGATCTAACCTTGGCTTTTCTCCGTTCAGACATTGCTGTTCTATACTCGTTACGTGACCTTAAACCATAGTTTCTTGTTTTTTGAATCAACTATTCTAATCGCACGGCTCGTTTATTCGGATTTTTATTTTCGAGAAAATTAACCAAAATATTATGACGATGATGGTAACCGTGAATATTTTTTTCTTTATCAACCCCGAGAATCAATTATCTACCGTAGTTGTTGTGTAAGGATATTGATGTTTTCTGAGAAATGATTAGGGGATATTTTTTTATTCTTTTCGTTTTTAATTTTTTACTTTTTTATTTCTCGTATTTTGTTTATTTGATGAAAAATATAAAAAGAGGTCAATCGATCTTTCGTATTTATCAGGAGGGTTATCATTTTCATGAAGCAAACATAAAGCTAAGCTGGTAAAGATAATGTGTTCGCACGAAGAGAGAAAACTCGACGCTGTTTTCTCTGCTAAAAATTTCTTCAAGACGACCCTGAGAATGTTCAGTATCGCATTGTGAGCGACGCGTGGCACGAAACTCGTAATAATCGTCGGTATAGTCGTCCTCGTCATTGTTATCGATCTAGAAATTGATTTAAAACAAATAATTCAAAAAGAAACCTGAGATAACACGAAATTATTTGATTTTTTAATAACTATAATTTATTTTTTATCATTTAATAGAGAACAATATAATTAATATACATTTTCTTCTATTCATAGCCTTTAGAACAATAATTTCAATAATTTTCATTTTTTTTATATGTTCTGTGAGTTCATTATTTTATGCAGAAAACTTGTTGTAGAATTCGTATTACATTTAACTAACTTTTGTTCGCTTTGAATATTTGAAAATATCTGCACAATTTGGCTTGATTTAAACGATCGCAAATATTTTATCTTTATTGCTTTTCTTTTTATATCTTGTAACGTAAATACGAGCTACTGAAATGATTTTTATTATCAACCAAATGAATTCATTTGACGATTACATTAATTATTTGTGTTCACAACTGTACCGAACCTTTATCACGACACATAAAAGAAAATTATTTAATATTTATGTGTCTTACCATCGATTTATTTCATTTATAATCAACGAATTAAAAGGAATGAAAATTTTAAGAATAAATCCAATCTTTTATTGTTAGATCAAATTTCCAGACTTTAATATTTCAATTTACTGAGATTAGTTTTTTTTTTCTTTTTTTTTTTTTTAGAAACATTTGAAATTACAAAGGTATTGAATCTTATCGATGATACTTGAGTTTTGCGTTATTGGTCAGAAAGAGCAATTTTGAAAGCTCTTAAAAGTCTGACAAAATTTCATTTCTACTTCGTTGTGCTCATCATCGTCTTCACATAGACACAAATATATACATGAGAGATTTTTCTATAGTATTAGTTAAAAATAACGTGAATATTAAAATATATATACATTTGCTTAGGTACCTATTATGATCGTGACGATCGTCGTCAATTTTGTCTGGTAGAACGAGTTTAGTTTGATTATTGTACATGCTAGCTTAATCATCATCAGATTAATACACTAATTGTAAGTTTTGCAATAATATTATAAGGTTGCAAACTTGTAATCATTGTCAGGGCTGTATCAACTTGACGTGTTCTACTCGTATAAGTAAAGTTTGCATATTCATTGAATTAGATATTCAACTTTTTATTCTTATATAATAATATTATTTACGAATGCTATATAAAGTACTATTAGATTATTCTAGAAATTATATATTTTCCATAATTTTTCACATATGCCGATTGCGAGGAGATTCGTTTTTGAAAAATGTTTACATCATATTCGCTGAATTTTATTTTTCAATTATAAGCAATAAAAATCTTAAAAATTTGTAAACGTTTAGTTTGTCGAGGAATAAATAATTAACGTGATGTCAAGCTTTTAATTAGACACGTGACCTCGAGTTTAAGTATTAAAAAAATAAAAGATTTGAAATTGAGAACGAAATTAATAACACGTACACACATATTTACGCATATTTAATACTAATATTTTACAAATTTATAAATATTTTTCTTTTATTCTAATGTAAAATTGTATTTAAATTTGAAACTATTTATTAATTACTCTAAATAGATTTGACATAGTGAAAAGAAAGATTAAAATCTTGTCCCGTGGTAAAAGTAAACTTATTAGGCCTCGATAAGGTCGCACGTAAGTAAATTGCAAAGCGTGAATGAAGTGTATACGACAATGGCATTCGTTTATAGTAAGTCAGGGTCGATTCACGTAATATCGCATAAAATAACAGTGGCGTATGACCGATATTCTTGCGATAGGTAATACATAAATAAGTGCAAATTTCACACGCAAATTATATACAATTTAACGTTACTAATTGTAAGTGAAAACGGAACGAAACAAATTGTTTCGAAATTTTATTTAATTTTCTATAACGATTTTAGAAAATTATACAATATTAACCCTAAATGATTCACAACAAGATAAATATAATTATAGATCTTCGTAGAAATTTTTTATGCTCTTGTAAACGTTCGCAAAATTTTACAATTTTTGTTTCTTTAAATTATGGATTTGAAAAATTTGCTGAATAATGTAAAAAGATTGTTTGTTAACAATTGTTATATATTTCAGGGTTCCGGATACTTAAAACGTGCGAACAGTGATCGCCTCTATGAAATCTTTAATCAGGTAAGAACAACAAATATTCTACATAAAAGTTAAAAATGTTACAAATGTTATAAATAATTTTAAAAGGACAACGTTATTGCGCGCGGAATTAAAGAGAAAAGGTGAGGTGCGTGCGTACAACTGTCATACGCGTATCCTATTTTTTGTTTTTAGTGCTTATGCTAAATGTGTTACAATCTCATGTGCTCTTGCATACTCATAAAAGTAACAAATAAAATCTTTGATCGTCGAAGCTAATCGAGTTTTCTTTATTTCTGCAGTCAAAGCTGTTATTAAGTCACCTTTTCTCAATAAATAAAATTATTTGTATTAAATTTGTTTTTTTTTTTATATATTTAATTGGTTGAAACATATTCTCGAGAATCATATACATATCACGTTGTTCGTATATTGGAACTGCCAAAATGTTAAATGTTAAATGTCTCGGGTTCATGAACGTTTTTATCTTCGGAGTGTATCGCCAGAAAGAGTTTAAAGGTTAAATTAAGATGCACCTTGCACGTATACGTGTGAAGTTTTGTTCAAACGTTTGATTTATGTATTTTATTGATTTTCTTGTTGATATATGGCAACTAATATTTAGAATTTAAAATTAATTAATTCAATCGTTTCTGTTGTATAATAATTTTTCTAAATGTTATTAATTAATCTTCATTTTAGTTAGAACTCATTAATTAATATTTATCAGGAATAATTAATTTTATTTCTGTTATTTGGTATTAATTTACAAAATATCGTTAATGAGAATGTATTTATCAAATGATTGAAAATTATTTATCTCTCTTATTTATGTTAGTATAGTGTATGATATTAATCAAAATTTATAAGAAAGTATTTTTATATATAATTCACGTTATTTATATTTTACGAATGAGAATATTTGGGTGTGGCAGTTTCAGTCAAGAGAATATCTTGCATATTATCTATAAAGTCAATGTCGTGTGGTTGCAATGTTATTCTCTTGCTGAAAGAAAATTACGAACCAACGTGGAAAATCTGATAATACGCGTAAATCAAATATTCAAATAAATTTCGAATATTCATTTATTACAAATTCCTACAATTTTCTACAAATCAAATAATAAAAAATTGATTGAATCTTTTTAATATTTCACATATATAACCGCGCATGTTTTAAATTAATTAATCATGAACATTTTGATAAATTATTGATATATTTTTGTTATTTGATAAATTTTGATATATTATTGCATAATTAATCATTTTCTTTTTTTCTTGTTCAATGACAGTACGCCACGCAAGAGAAGAATGGCGAAAGGTTTATGACCCCATCTGATTTTGTACGTAGTTATCTTGGTCTTTACACGGATGCTGATTACAATCCTGATTCCGTTAATCTACTTGCTGGAATTGTCGACACTAGTAAAGATGGGTAAGCCATTTAACATTAATGATTACTTTTTTTTCGATACATATGTATTTGCATAGAAAAGATACAACGAATAATAAGACCAACTTATTCGAACATCTTATGTGTTTTCAAGACAATTATTCCATATTTTTATGTCAATTTGTAAATATTTTTCATCTCAAATCAGATAAAATTTTATTAATTGCAATTTACATGACATTTGCTTATACTATTTCGAAATAGTAGAAATGAAAAATTTATTGTTCGAATATCGATTAAAAATTATTTATGAAGCATCAACTTGTAAATTAATGAATTCAAATTTACATGACATTTGTTTTTATTATATTATTTTTAATGCACATTAAAAATGAATTACAAAATCTAATTAATTTTGATGTAAATAACAAAGCTACAAGTTTATTTCTTAGTCAACGATTATATTAAATGTTTTGTAATTAATGTTTCAAGTTATTGGGACAAAGGTTGGGGGTTGTGGTTAAATTATTTGTAGGTTCAATACCTGTGGGGGTGAGCTCAGCGGATAACGAAGACTGATAAAAGTCTATTTTTATCTAACTGAAGTCTTACAATATCGTCAATATCCATCTATAGTACATCAAATTTAGAACTTGGTGTTTATTTACAGTACCCATATATTGAATTCCATCAATCTGTTCATTTATTCTGTGGTTTACTTCACTTCACCAATTTTATTAAAAAAATAGATTGAAATGTACAATTAATCAGATTTGCTTATTTAAACATATCACAGATTTTGCTTTATTATAATTTACTGTAATGATGAACAGAATAAATTAATTTATAATTTTTGCAAGAGAGTAATAGAATATGTTGAAATAATCAATTTCTATGGAAACGTGTTATAAATTACAATATTGATAATCTTTTATTTATTTTTCAGACTCATATCTTTTGCCGAGTTTCAAGCATTTGAAGGTCTACTTTGCGTCCCAGATGCATTATATAAAACAGCATTTCAATTGTTTGATACTAATGGAAATGGAATGGTTACATTTGGTAAGAATTTGCTATAAATATTCTCAATACTAATATTTATCATTATTATTAATAATAATTCATTTTATTTGATGGAAAACAATGATTAAAACAGACGAGTTCACTGAGGTGATGCGTAAAACGGTTTTACATCAAAGGATGCCATTTAACATGGATAGCAGTTTCATCAAACTTTATTTCGGAAAAGATAAGGGCAGGCTCATAAGTTACGCAGAATTCAGTCAATTCCTACACGTAAGAAATTTTATAAAAAAATATTTGTTCAGATATTTTATTTAAATAAAATGTGAAATTGAAATGAGTTTTAATTATTTTTGCAGGACTTTCACGAGGAATATGCAACGGAAGCATTCAAAAAATTTGATAAAGATGGGACGGGTTTTATTTCGGCAGTAGACTTTCAAGATATCATGCTTAGTATTAAAAGTCATTTACTGACAAAGGATGTGAAAGATAACTTAATACCCGTAAGAATTCATCTACTCTATAAATGCATTTGCAAATACATTAAAAAATAGGTATTTTCAAATTGACTATATTGAAAATTATGGTCGCAGGCAGTCAATACAGTACAAAGTGGACGGAAAGTAAGCTTCCCATATTTCATGGCATTCAATTCGCTTCTAAATAACATGGAACTTATAAAACGTATTTACCTGAACGCGACCAATGGGCATAGATATCAAGAAGTTACCAAAGGTAATAAAAACAAATTATCAATCTAATTGTATTAATAAAATTTCTACAATTTATTTTCTTTCAAGGATAATCTAAATATTTGCTCTTTAAACATTTTTTCATCGTTTTTCCAGAGGAATTTCTTCATTCAGCACAAATGATGTCTCAAATAACACCACTTGAGGTGGACATCCTTTTTCATCTATGCCATTTACTCCATCAAACTGGGTAAGTATCCTTTCTCCTTGAAAATGAAATCCCCTTCTACTATCGGATGATAAATCGTATTAAAAAAGATACGTGGAAGGAGTGTTTGAGACATTCGATAGGAAATAGATACGTGTCATGTAAAGACGTCTAAATAAAAAAAGAAAAAGAGATAGAAGAAAGGGAAAAAGAAAATGCATGCAAACAAAGAAACAAATAGAAATTATTAAGTTTACGTTTAAGAAAGAAATATGTCTCATTCAGCCTATCCACATATCTGAGTAAATACTTGAATACCTTCCACGAAAACCTGATCAATATCCAATATAAAAACACGTAATGCTATCGTTGCACCAGCAAGCACTTCGTCATCATCCAAATATCCAGTGTCTCGTTCTTGGCAAAGAAGATGCAGACTCTACTACACACCAACGATAATTAACAATTTTAATTACAATAATCCTAATAATTGTCTTTTTTTTTCTTTTTCTTTATACCTTATTTAAAAAAAGCTTTATTATACAACTTTTTTTAAAACAAAAGACACTTAGCGATCTTTAATATTGCGAGTCTAAGTCCAAGGAAACTTTGTTTATTGAAAGAAACGTTTGTTTACGTGTTTACGCTGCCCGGATCAGAACTACGGAAGATGATGAGGCAGATTCGCGTTTTGGGTGCGTCCTTTGTATTACAGAATATTTCGCGCTATCTAAGATATGTTTTTGTCATGTAAATATATATATATGTTACCGTCAAAGCCGGAATTCAGTCATTGCTAGTAATTCCTCGGCATTACTATGAATGCAAAGAGCCTTCAGATGAAGTCGGAAATAAGACTTTTTGGAGAGTTTTTCCTAGGCATCGAACATAATACTTTGATATCCTATAGAATATTAAATTATTATGTTCGATACCTAGGAAAAACTGGAAGAATTTTTCAATTTCCGACTTCGTCTGAAGGCTCTTTGCTTTCATAGTAATGCCGAGGAATTACTAGCAATGACTGATTTTCGGCTTTGACGGTAACATATATATTTAATATATACATATATATAATCAAGTATATATAAGTATATATATAACACGTTACTCACACACACGTATATATTTTCTTTAGCATCTATTTTTAGGATGATCTATTTATTAATACTTGCACACACCCATTAACAATAATAATATATATATGTGTGTATATACAAGGTGTCTAATATTTTTCCAACTAAACGGTTTCAGCATATTCTATGTACGAAAATAAGAAAAAAATATTCTATTAACATAGCACATGCTTTATTCACAAATTATGATTTAAATTAGAAATGTTCATATTTATTAAGCAACGGGAGTAGTTTTTACATTTTCACTGGATTATGTTTACTATTTCGAAGCAATTTTTTGAATCTCAATCGATATAACATAAGTTTTCTTGAAATTTTCTTGCGGAATAATATTGATAAAAATATCGAAAGTATTTTTAAATAAAAAATGTGCACAAAATTCATTATGCGTATGATTTGTGCGACGAAAATATTCTGACTCCTGTAAAAAAGTATTAGTGTAGATTTTTTCTCAAAAGTGTCAAGCATCAGTCAATTTTTTCGAACATACAATTATGCGAAATAGGTTCGTTTCATTCTACAGCGGTATTGGACTTGCACTTGCATAGACGGTCAGTTCTTTAAACAAGAAATTAGGTGATTTACAATTTGTGTCATAAGTATTAAACAAAGTTTAAAATGATTTATATTTATGTATCATTTTTGTCTTTATTTTCGTACATAAAATAATTTGTTACTGTTTGAGAGGAAAAACTTCAGATACCCTGTACATGCATATATATTAGCGTTAGGTTGTCTCCTATCGTGCTTAAGACAAATAACGATTAAGGAACGTACTGGCAGGACATTAGTATTGCTTGAAGCAGTGCCATCGACGTCCATCTACCTTTTATAACGATTCTCTTATTTCTGTATTCTTTCTTCCCCCATGTTGTTTCGCTTGTCGCTTCAGCAACGATGTTTGTATTGAGCTCGCATTTTCTGGGATTTCAGGAAAATTGTATACAATGATCTCGTGGCTATTACTCCTGAGCAGTATTTCAAGCAAATAACAAAACGTCTTGCTGAGATTAAGGCGGTGTCGGTAAGTGTGGTGAAAAAAGAAGTATCCGCTGCCGAGCGTGCGACAATGGAACAATTTTAGCCCGAAATCTACGTGAATACGAGGCTTTTTGTGAGGTGTTACATTAAATAGCGAAGTACTATTGCTTTTCAGAGCCCGGAGGAGCGCGGAGTTATCGTTCAAATTCTTGAGAGTGGATACAGATTTGTACTCGGATCTATTGGCGGAGGTACGTTCTACCGATTGATCCGAAATTTATTTTTCTTATTTACATTATCATTATTATTATTATTATTATCATCATCGTATATTACATATATTTTCAATATTCTTCGCCTATTTACTTCGTAGGTTTTCCTTTACAGATATTATGCGAGACAAGAATCAATAGAATAATGACTGAGCTGACTAATAATATAACTACTCCCCCTTCGTTAATTTCTATCTTTATATTATCATTCATCTATTTTTATTTCACTATCAAGATTTAATGAGTTTGTTAATTAATAATATCAGAATTTTTAATAATTAATATATTACTATAGTGATTTATTTAAAGGACTTATTATTTTAGATACTAAAACGCTTTCTGGTATTTTATTTCTAAAATCACTCTACTATTTTTTATAACAAAAATTTTAACATTACTGATTGACCGATTCAATATTATTTCTATAATCTTTTTTTCGTTCATATTACGTTTGTTTCTTATTTTCCTTTTTTTTTTTTTAAATTACATTTCAACCACAACAGAGCACCAAATATATAAAACATATATATTTATGCACAATGATACAACCATTCAGGCATGTTATTGACGACATTATATTAAGAATGTTTGTTTTATAGTTCGAATTTAATCGAAGAAAAAATGTTTTCTTTTTTAGCCGTTGGTGCTACCGTGGTGTACCCAATCGACCTAGTGAAAACTCGACTACAGAATCAAAGGACAGGATCTTTCATTGGGGAACTGATGTACAGGAACAGCTTGGATTGTTTAAGAAAGGTTGGAATCGAAAAGTCTCCCCATGTAACACCGTCTACATTTTTAATCATGAAGATGGTAATTTGCGTTTGACAGGTCATGCGACACGAAGGCTTTTTTGGCCTTTATCGTGGCTTATTACCTCAATTGATGGGTGTAGCGCCGGAAAAAGCGATCAAGCTTACGGTTAATGATTTCGTAAGAGATAAATTTATGGACAAAAATGGAATTTTACCGGTTTATGGTGAAATTATATCCGGTGCTTGCGTAAGTATTTTTTTTTTCCAATTGTTAAAAAGAAAAAAGAAATAGAAGATATAATGAAAAAACTATTTTTGTATAAAAGCTATTTTTTTTTATGATCAAATTTTCTTTTACGTATTTCTACGTTTTTTACAAGATCATTTTAAAAGAGTATATATTTAATTATTATATTTTTGTTTTATTTAGGCTGGAGGATCTCAAGTAATTTTCACGAATCCTCTGGAAATCGTGAAAATTCGGTTGCAGGTTGCCGGAGAAATTGCAGGAGGCACGAAAGTACGAGCATGGTCTGTGGTTAAAGAATTAGGTCTATTTGGATTATACAAAGTGAGTATTAAAGTAAAAAGAAATCTTATCTGTATATTTTTAAACGAATTTCTAATAAATTAAATATATTTTTTATTATAAATAATAATAGGGTGCTAAAGCATGCTTTTTAAGGGACGTACCATTTAGCGCAATTTACTTTCCAATGTATGCTCATATAAAAGCTAAACTGGCCGATGAAGGAGGATACAATACTCCATTGTCACTTTTATTTTCTGGTGCAATTGCTGGTGTACCTGCGGCAGCGCTAGTTACTCCTGCAGATGTAATCAAAACTAGATTACAGGTATTTATAAAAAAGTAAAATTAAATAAAAGATCAATGATAATTTTTTCAAAAATCCTATTTCAATTTTTTCAGGTTGTTGCTAGAGCAGGTCAAACGACCTACACCGGTTTGCTCGATTGCGCGAGAAAAGTTTACAACGAGGAAGGTGCCAGAGCATTCTGGAAAGGAGCTTCAGGTATTTCTGATTCATATGAGATTTTATTTTATTACCGTCTACTTTTTATATTTTTCTAGCCCTCTTTATTTTTTCATAAACCTCGCAAATGTGCAATATAGAATTTATTTCAATATAAAATTTTGAGATCCATGCACAGCATTGTTTTTTTTTTTTGAGTTTTTATATTTTTATTTCGCTTTTTTGTATCTGCTTTAATATTATATTTATCCTCATTTTCTGTAAAATATATTTTACATTATCTATTAAAAATTAGTACATTATATATATTATAAT